CTCACTGGCTGGGCTGTCTACAGATTCTCAGAGCCAGAGTGGAAAACAGGAATAAAGTATATTGTACTGCTGCTTTTGAACCTACTCAACCCTAAGAAGAGAATATCTAAATGTGTAAATGAGAGATTTTGAGATTTTTTAATGCAAATGAAATAACAAAATTATGTTCATATTATGATATTAATATTTAGAGTTGTTCTCTAGTCCAAAGTCACACACACACACACGCACACAAAGATTTAGTTAGACTGCAACATGACCAAGATTAATAAAACAAGTATTTTCATCTGTTAAAATTTCTACTACTAAATCTAACTACTAAAAAATGATCTATGTCAATGGATACAGATTTTTAAGAAAAATAAATAATCAAAAAATTTTAGAGAAAGAAAATCTGTCAAAAAAACAAAAACTACAACAAAAAAGTGAGATATGTGCAAAATTAACAAAGACTATAAGTAATATATTGATTTTATTATTTATTAAAAAACTGTTTTATCAGAGTTCCTACAAGTTCCTACATTTTAAAATTGTACAGTATATGTTCTGGTCAAGATGGCAGAATAGACAGTCCCCAGTATCACTCTCTCCCACAAATCAACCAATTTACAATTATAAACATGTAACATCAGCCAAGCTGGGGCCACAGGAGCTCAGGGGAAGAAGAGGAGAGAACTACAGGGTTCATGAAGGTAGGAGAAACCATGATGACAGAAAGAAAAAAGTGCTCTGAGTGTTTCAGGCTGTGGCCGCTTTAATGCTGGAGCTGCTGAGCACATGGAGCAGGAGCTGGCAGAAGCCACAGCTGTGCCCTTCAGATGGAGTTACTTGGAATCAGCAGGGGAAAAGAGGACCTTCGTGGCCCCCAGGATAGCAAGACTACTAATTAGGGTTCCCATGGACCCACGCAGGAGTGAGGAGCCAGAACAGCTGAAAAAGAGGAGCCATTCAGAGGCCAGTGAGTCAACACAAGGGACTGGCACAGGGCCTGCCCCATGGGAAGTGTTTGGAGCACGGGTGGTGGGGTGATGGACCCACCAGGAGAACACTGGGGCACAGCAAGGACAGCCGATCCACCCCCCAATCAGTGCAGGCCCACTCAGAGGAGTCTGGTCAGGAATGCAGAATTGCATGGGCTGCAGTTTGATAACAAGACTCAGGCCCAGATCAGGGTTTCTACACAACCGAGGTGAACCAACTCTCTGGAGAGCCAGAAGTACCTATAAGGTCAACCATTAAACCATGAGCTGCACAAAAAGCCTTCCCTGGGGAAACAGCAGCAAAGCAGCAATTTAGCTCAATCACACAGCTCAAGTACTGGTTCCCACAGGAAGTTCACCAGTGTTAGAAGTAAGCAAAGGACAAATAATTAGTTCTGGCCCAGGCATAACACCAATGCCTTGGGGCCCACCAGAGGACATGAGGCATGGAGCCAGGGATCAGACCCCACTCCCACATCCAGGAACAGCACCAGCATCTCGGGGCCTGCCTGGGGACCCGAGTCATGGAGAAGGGGACCAGACCCCCCTCCCACAACCAGGCACACCATGCCAGCACCTTGGGGCCTGCCCAGAGACCCGAGGCATGGAGAAGGGTACTGGACACCCCTCCCACAACCAGGCACACCATACCAGCACCTCAGGGCCCACCTGGGGACCCAAGGCATGGAGAAGTGGACCGGACCCCCGTCCCACAACCAGGCACACCACGCCAGCACCTGGGAGCCTGCCCAGTGACCCAACGCATGGAGTTATGACTGGACACCCCCTCCCACAACCAGGCACACCATGCCAGCACCTCAGGGCCTGCCCGGTGACCTGAAGCATGGAGCCGGGACTGGATGTCCCCCCCACAACCAGGCACACCATGCTAACACCTCAGGGCCCACCCAGGGACCCAAGTCATGGAGCCAGGGACCGAACCCCCTGCCAGAACCAAGCACACTGCACCAGTGCCTTGGGGCCCACCCGGTGACCTGGGGCAGGGAGAAGGGGACCAGAGCCCCTCCCACAACCAGGCACACTGCGCCAGCACCTCAGGGCCTGCCTGGGGTCCTGAGGTATGGAGCCAGGGACTGGACCCCCCTCCCACAACCAGGCACACAGCACCAGTGCCTTGGGTCCTGCCCAGGGTCCCGAGGCATGGAGAAGGAGACCGGACCCCCCTCCCACATCCAGGCACTCCATGCCAGTGCCTCAAGGCCCAATCAGGGACCCAAGGCAGGGAGCTGCGTACCAGATACTCACAATAACCAGGCACACCACCAGTGCCTTGGGGCCCACCAGGGGACACGAGGCATGGATCCGGGGCAGGATCCCAGCCCACAACCATTCATACCACCAGTACCTCAGAGCCCGCCCTGGAACCTGAGGCTTGGAGCCACAGACTGGACCCCACTCTCATATCCAGCACCGCAGGGCCTGCCTGGGGACCTGAGGCATGGAGAAGGGGACTGAGTGCCCCCCCACAACCAGGCACATCATGCCAGCACCTCGGGGCTTGCCCATGGACCCAGGGCTTGGAGCCAGGGACCGGAAACCCCTCCCACAACCAGGCACACCATGCCAGCATTGCAGGGCCTGCCCGGGGACCTGAGGTATAGAGCTGGAGACCAGACCCCCCTCCCACAACCAGACACACTGCGCCAGTGCCTCAGGTCCCCCCCCCCACAGGGACCTGAGGTCTGGAGCCAGGGACCAGACACTCCCTACAACCCAGCACACTGCCAGCACCAAGAAGCATGCCAGAAACATCACCTCCATGTGAGTGGCCTACCACAGCCATCACAATAAGCATGGCTGCTGCAAAAGTGGCTAGATGCCACAACTACCACGCAGATGGTCTGTCAGCCACTGGAGTGCATTGACACAAGGAGAGTCCCCAGCAGAGATAAAGAAAAGAAGAGGATGTCTCTCTCCACAAAGCCCATTTCAGAGTGACAGAAGAAGCATCTGTCTATGATAATATTGGGGGGCCTGACACACCTCTCAGCACTGAACAAATCATTTAGGCAGCAAATCAACAGAGTAACCATTATTCTTTCGGAAGGAGAGAAGAAATCTAGGGTAATTAGAGGGGGGAGGGTGAAGGAGAGGGGGATGAGGAGAGATTGGACAAGGGGCATAAAGAATAATTACAATTTATAACAATATATATGCTAGTAATATTGATTTTATCAACATATCTCAATGTTGAACCCCCAAAATATGTATAATCAATTTTGATTCAATAAAAATAAAAAAAAAATTTTAAATAAATAAATAAAATAAAATTGTACAGTAGAACTGACCACCATAAGAATCCTCATTATTAATGTCACAGATATTGAAAAAAACACCTATGACTTATTAAGAAAAATGTTAATAACCAAATAGAAAAATGGACAATATGTAAGAAGAGGCAATTTATAAAAGCAGAATCACAAACGATCAGGAAATGTATGAAAAGATGGTCAATGTCACTCGTAGTTAAGCAAATGCTAACATAAAAGACGTTCTGAGGCCGGCCCGGTGGCGCACTGGATAGTGCGCCGCTTGGGAAGCGCGGCGGCGCTCCCGCCCGAGGGTTCGGATCCCACATACAGACCGGTTCCCGCTCACTGGCTGAGCGAGGCGCGGGAGCAACGCTGAGGGTTGCGATCCCGTTGCCGGTCCCCGGTCCGGTGCGGGGGCAACACTGAGGGTTGCGATCCGTTGCCGGACACGGAAAAAGACAAAAAAAAAAAGACGTTCTGTTTTTACTCATCAGAATGGCAAAAATAAAATGATTGGTTACACTAATGCTAGTGAGAATAGAGGAAAACAGTTCTCCTACAATTTATAACCTTGTGGGCAAATGTTCCAGTCAAATTCATTAATACAGAAATTATGCCTCTACCTTAACAAAGAAAATCCATTAACTAGATATCCAAGAGAAATAAGAGTATAAAGGTTTAAACTAATATTTACTCTAGAATAATATAATGGCTCATTCTGGCAACAGCTCAAAGATCCATTAATAAGGAACATTTAAATTTATGGTTTATTAATAGTATGGAATAATATGCAATCATTGGAAAGATTGAGGTATGCAGTCATGTATTGATTTTAAAGGATATCCATCATATATTTTAAGTGAAAAAATTATATAACATATATATTATTTTTTTAAGGAAAAATATAAACACACAAAACACCACATGTGCATATATACCTCCAAGAGCAAAAGAAAAAAGTACAAAAGAAAAAACATATGCTGCAAAGAGTGGTGCAGATGATGAATGGGAAAAAATGGAGACAAATAATTTTACTTCAAATAGTCCATAAACTCAGTTGGTTCTCAGGATTACGAAATGTAGTTATTTGAATTACTAAATTTAAAAACATCATTAAGTCTATAGTTATAACTTTGGTTTATTCTAATTCCCTAACATATGCCAAGAAAGAGTTTGTTTTAGGTTTGATGTTTTGGAACAATTTCCCAAGATGACTGACATACCTAATCTTAGAAAAACTTAGTTCTTTTAACACACAGTAATCAAATTTCTAGTAAAAGATATAAAAAAGAGCAATAGTTAGTTGGATCTATATATACATACAAATGAAAAAATATGCACTGTGAACTTACCATAACATGGTTTTGGATCATACTGATGCTTTATATTGAAACCAATTGGTAATTCAGTATGGGGTTTCAACCTAGAGCTACCTGAGACTCCTCTCTACTGAGAATAGTGTTAAAATACGATTCCAGTGAATCTCACTCATTATTGATAAACATTTCTCCATGAAGAAAAAATAGGATGAGATCTAAACAATAACATTCCCGTGAAAATATTTAATGTTACAGCATAATTTCTAACAACTAAACTGACACAATGACTACGGTTCACTTCAATATTACTTCTCTTTACACAAAAATTTTTTAAAATTTAAATAAATTTCTGATAGAGATATTAGGCTTTGGCTCAAAAAATGCATATCAAGAATGCTAACCTTTGTCTTAAAAAGATCTTTTCCTACCTTCACATTATCTGGATGCAGCCCTCCAGGGTGCTTGTCCATGTACTGACATAAATCAGTGTGCTAGAAGATAAAAGGGAAAATGTATTAATATCCCTCTGGCTATATCACAATAAATCAATATTTTCCTACTTCAAAGTCAGTATTACCTTCTGAACAAAGCAAATACAAGACAAGTAGGTGAATTTTTTAGTGTATGTAGTTGCATGTTTCCCCACTCCCCATTTTTAACCATCACTGAATCATTATCTTTTTCTCTAGGCTCTGTTTTATGTTAAACCTGTCTGTGTATTAAAAGTAATACATGCCCATTTTGTTAAGTGTCTAATTTTCTCCTCATTGATTATATATTCCATACCTTAACTAAAAACACACACAAAAACTTAACTGATCCAATTACAATTTCAATTATCTCATATTTTCCAAGTACAAATGCAAGTTATGATTATATGAGATGAAAATACCATGAATACATTATGCTAGCAAATTAATCATTAAACTTATTTAAATTTTTCATATCTATATTCCCAAAAATAATTTTCAGGTTTCCAGAACTCTTAAATATATTTGAGTAAATATACCAGAGAAATTAATAGAAATACTTTCAAAATTATAAATTAAGGTGAATACATCCAGATATAAGTTAAACATAATATTCCTAGATAACATCTTACGTTATTATTCTTTTAAATATGCCAAGTTCAATTTGCCCACAATTGTACACTGCATGTTTTCTTCTTAATGCTTTTTCTGTTCTATATTACGAACTATATAGAATTTTCAAAAAGCATGTAGAGTTACCATTCAAATTTTTCTTCTCTTATTGGAGGGTTCTATAAGATTTGTAACATTGAAACACTTAACCATTCTGTAAAAGCCAGTGAACATGAGTGTTTATGCCCATTATCAGGCTTGAATGATTGAGGAATTACAAGTTTTATAACACATTCAAGAATTGTGCTATAGTCATTGTGACCACAGTTCAGATTCTGTTATTGAGCTTTCACTGCATGCCAGGTGATGCTTGCTGGAGATACAGAGCAAAATTTAACCTTCCCTCAGACACCATATACTTCTTGGGCCCTTATTATGTTCCAGGCACTACACTAGTCACTAAGGACCCAAAATTGAATAAAATAGATGGAAATAGAAAGAAACAGACATGCCACTAATTATGGGAGAGTATGGTATGTTTTATTACCCAGTACTGGGTAATGTTAAAGGGTATGAACCTAACGTGGTCTAGAGATTTCAGAAAGGCCACTGTAAGAAGTAAGACATGAGTAGAGGATGAAAGAAGTTAGAGAATTGAAGGGCAAAGGGGAGGAAAACAGAAGAAATGTTTTTAGGTACATTCTGAAACAAAAACTGCCTTTACCTTGGACCAGACCCAAGGTGTTTGGCTTCTAAATCAAAGTCAAACTCCATGAGGTAAGGAACTGTCTGATGTGGAAATTACTGTATCTGTGGTCTGAGACACAGAGAAAAAGAAACTAATAAACAAGGTTATACATATGTGCGACTGCTCATTGAAAATAACCCTAAAGTATGATTACAATGGGTTCCACAGAGTTTTTCCTGAGTAACTATATAAAAGTTTTATTTCATGCACTTAACAAACCAAGGAATGAATTTTGGACCCCAAATTGCTCAATATTATTAACTTCACCATCCTTTCCAATAGGGATAATACCACCCTAAAAGATGAACAAAAAAAGAACATGAAAACACTTTTTACATATAACATGACATATCAAAGTAAGGTATTATTTAAAATGCTGCCCATTCTACAATAAGATCCACAAGGGTAAGAATTGTCTCTAATTTGTTCAATGCTTCACATATACGAAACAAAATATTAAATAGAAAGTATATCCAGTCATATCTAATCACATATCCATGATGTGATAACATGCTTATTAAAAATGTTAAATCTCAGTTTACAAAATAAAATCAAATTCATACTGCTTCCCAAATACAAACTAAAAACAATACACAAACAATAAAAAAAAAAAAACCAGGAAGTCTGAAAATAAAAAAATAATACCAGGGTACTTCAAAAAATTCATGGAAAAATATAATTAAAAGATAATATGAATCTTTCATATACTTTTTGAAGACCCCTCATATTTTATATTATATATTTATATTTTACATGTTTTGTCATTTATGCTGGTAAATATCAAAAAAAAGGAATCAGAAATATCCATGTAAATCAGGTATAATAGAATTCAAGAAACACGAATTCAACATTTATGCACCTAACAACAGAACACATGAACATAAAGCAAAAGTTGATAAATATAAAAGAGGAAATCAAAAAGTTCACAAAGTCTTAAAGGGTTTAACTTCTTTCAAAAATCAACAAACGAAATTGGCAAAAAATGTAAGACTAGAAAGGATATAAATAAAACAATTAACTGGCACGTTTACTTTTAGGCCTAATAAACTCATGCTACGCATGCTTTTTAAAAACAAATAGCATACTCACAAAAAGTAACAATGTATTACACAAAGAGAAAAATCTCAAAAATTTCCAGAGAGCAGAAATCGTATTATATCCTCTTCCCATAATTGAATAAAATTAACATCAAACAATTCTTTTCATCTTTGATACTGAAATGATAGCATTCGTTTGCTATTACCCAGGCAGTAATTGGAAAATAGTTGTCATTGCCTGCAAATTTGAGCAAATTTCTCATTTTGCTCTATTTGCAGAGTTTACATAATGGCATGAGTCATCAACAAACAACTTAAGGACAACCTCAGGAAGAAATATGAAAAGATGAGCCCTAATTGTTATCTGGAAACCATTTATTGAAATTCTCAGGTACAAGTTTTTTAAGTGCCAGAATTAAAATTTGTACAGCTCTCTCAGCAAGCATAAAATAAAAATTCTGAGTGTTAAAAAAACACTCAGTCATAGTGTACTTGGGTGTATTGTTTTCTTAGTAGTAAAATAATGTTTCTTCCAATGAAAGGTGGCTTAAGTTCAATGGCAGCAGGATGAAAGGGAAAGAAGAAAAGCAAATAAGAGAGGAAATGAGAAAGAGAGAAGTGAAGAAAATTTTTAAAATTCTTGGAAATTAAAAAAATCCTAAAAATGCTTACGTCAGTTTAAAAAGAATGATGATAGCACACTACATGTCAGCAATGGAAAGTGGTCAGAACATTATTAACAAGAAAATTTAGGCCTCTAAATGCATTTGTTTTAACATAAGAATGACTGAAAATAAATAAAACAACCAATAAAGGAAAGCTAGAGAATACCAAACAAGGAAATCCAAAGAAAATAGAAGGGACTAATGCAATTAATAGCAGAAATTAATTAAATAGAAGATCTAAACGACTACAGATTTGATCAACTAAACAAAAACCTACTTCTTTGAAAATCCCAGTAAAACAAACAAAAGTAAAAGTAAACCTTTGGTGAGTTTAAGTCCTTTTTTTTTTTTAAAGTAAGTAAAGGGTTTTTGGCCAAGATGTCATCACACTCAGAATGAGAAAAATGACAAACTAAAAATGTGGAGATTTAAAAATATACTACAAACATATAGCACTATGCTCTGAACTACAAATGTCTTTAAATCAATATGTTTGATATCTATGTAAAACATGTTTTTCTAAAACACATATAAATTACTTAATTTGATTATATAAGAGATAGAAATTGAAGAGCTCTACCTAAAAGGGTACTAAATTCAGATAGTCTTAATGGATAATTCTCCAAACCTTCAAGTAACATGTACAAATTACTTCAGAGCACAGAAAAAAGATAAGATACTTTCCACTCCTTCTTTAAAGCTACAGTGTCAAACCAGGCGAAGACAAGGCAGAAATGGAGAAAAAAAACTAAAGCAACCTCTTTATGAACATAAATGTACAAATTCTAAAAATAATGGCAGTAAGTACTAGAATTGTATGTTATATTAAAATACTAACATGTCAAGACCAAACAAGATTAATATTAGGAAGGAAGAAATATGCAAGCCTAAAATTAACAAATTAAAGAAGTGGAATGGCAGTGGGCACAAAAGAACATTTATGCTATATATATATATATATATATTCAAGCCTTTTTAAAAAAATGAAACGACAAAACTATGATGAAGAAAACATATTAGGAGTGGGGAAAAAATTCTTGATCCTCAAAGTACACATGATGACCTTTCTTAGCGTATGTACAAATGACATTACCATCATGAATTGCAGGAAAGAGACCATCTCCATAAATGAGATCATGGAAAATAAAATAAAGATTTTTTTCCAAACCTTTAAAATTTTAAAATCCATATTTCCTTAAATGTAAAGCACAGAAATGAGGTGTGTGTATGTGCATACACCACATGGATACGCACATGCCTATCACTAGCTATGTAACTGTGAACAGGTTACATAACCTCTGTATGTCAGAATTAGCTTCATCTGTGTAATGAGGATAATCCTAGTACACCTACTTCATAGGATTATTGTGAGATTTAATGAGTATACATCCACAACAGCTTCAGAACATTGCCTAGCATGTGGTAGATAGGATAGATGATGATGACAACAATGCTGATTTTCTGACGTGTTTTTAGGAGTAGAAGTTGGAAGGAATATTTGGAAGGATTGCCACAAAAAATGAAAATGATAAATACAGTCAGAAAACAGGAACTTCTACAGGAAGCACTTCATCCTTGTATAAGGGTACTTCAAAAATATCTAAAGATATGTATTATCTTTTAATTCTATTTTTCTAATAACTTTTTGAAGTACCCTTATCTAAGTGTTCTTCCTGTCTACGTGCCCACTCTTCCGCTCTCTATACACAATGAAACTATGTCTAGCAAATACATCATTAACCTTGGAATGCTCTGCGTGATTAGGGGCAAGAAGCTGGAAAATGTCAGACGGGGAGGGGACGAGATGGTACAAGGTCACACTTTGGACCCTAACAATCATTTTTCACAAACTTCCATTCTATCTACACTAAAAACCTTTTCTTTTCCCTCTCTCTGTTTTAATACACAGTACTATGTCTGGACTTCATTAGATGTGTCTAAATTACAAATTTCATTACA